TTTTTTTTTTTTGCATTTAAAAAAACATGTAGGCTAAATGTACTGGTAATTTTCTGCCTGGACATTGTCCATTAATTTTATTGACATTTCAATTAACCCTAAAACACAATGCAATGAAGTGCAAAATTCAAAATACAGAAAACACCTGAAAAATCAATATGGAAAACTCTTACGTATTAATACAGTACATTGAACTTTATACAGATTTTTTTTTTTTACAGTGTATGAATCCAAGTCTGTTTGGATCTATTAAATGTATTTTATGAATTGGGAACATTCCAGGAATTTTTTTTTTTATTATTTTTTTTATCTGCATCTATCTTTACACACCAACTTAAAAAGCAACAACACAGTTCTCAGATTTTAATTGCAATTTAGTAATTAAGGCCTTTTATTCATTTCCAAAAACTGATTATGAATCATTTTAGAAGTTTTGCAGTGCATATAAAATATGAATATAACAATATTTGTGCTGTTCTGTTGCAGATGACTTTCATGTTTGGAGTCTGGAAGACCCAAGTGCAATATCTGAAAAAAGCTAGATTATACGTTAGCCTATTATCTTATTTAATTTTGTTCATCAGAACTAATCAAAAACAAAAATAGTTTTTTTTTGTCGGTGGATGTGGGTAGCAGAACTAAAATAGAAGATGAGACACAGGGGACAAAGAGAGAGGCAGAAGTAGGCTAATGAGATTCACACACTCCTCTGTGTGTAAGTATGCTGCTGAAGATGAAAGCCATGTCAGTGTGATGGAAAAAGCTGGCTCTCCCTCAACTAAACAGCCGTTTTCAACAGCGTTTCATGAAATGCCCGTCAATGGGACTGGATGAAATGAGTGTCTGTGGTGTGTGGTTTCATGAGGGGACAGAAGCTGATCAGATGTTTCATTAGAGCAGTCTGTTGTGTGAGATCCTCCCAAGAGACCACCGTGAGCTCTGCTGAAACATCAGAAGGACCCGAGTGTTGTTTTACCGACGACAGAGCGTAAATGGACCTTAGGGGAAGTGAGCGAGGGAGAGAGAATGGCTCTGGGGTAATTCAGATGCCGTAATGTTTTCTTGTTTACTGGGACGTATGTTGGATTATTAGAGGTTATATTTGTTTATACATGTCAGATCTGTCTGCACATCCTCATGAAAACTAAATCCAGTAATTGGTAAAGACTAAAGAGTGACTCGCATCAAAATTAAGATGTTCACTGCTCCCTCTGGTGGTCAGTTGATGAAAGCACCATGATTAAAGGGAGAAATGTTTCTTTATTCCAGAATACACCTTTGAGAGACATGTGCTTTCTGTCCCTAATTGCATAGCTTAGCTTTTAGGTTTCTTCTCAGGTGGAATAAGGACTATCTTTGAGTCGACAGGGAGCCGAAAGCTCACTTTGTCTATACAGGTACTTGGGTTTGAAAAAATAAAAAGTCACTTCCTCTCAAGTTCACACTTGTTTCTTTATTAGAAGATGAACTACATCATCATCATGTGACACTGAATGTGTTATATTCAGTGTCACATTATGTTATGTTATATATATATTATTATATGATACTAATAATGATGCTGAAAATTCAGCTTTGCATCACAAAAAATACATTTCATTGTATAATATTTTCAAACAGAAAACAGTTGTTTAAAATGGATTTTACTGTGTTTTTGATCAAATAAATGCAGCCTTGGTGACCATGAGAGACTTTTTTTATTTTAAAAAGCATTAATAAATCTTACAGACTGGCCACTGTTTGAATAAAACTGCTTGAAGTACAGATGTTTTCTAACTTATCAGGGGAAAGTGAAGGTGCCAGGTGTGGGGACTGGATTGATCAGTCCAAAAATGTCTGTCCTCCCATCACGGTGAAAAGAGGTCATCTGCTGACAGCTTAAAGGATTATGGGTAAAATGAACTTCAAGCTGCCCTGTCTCTGTAGAGAGAGGTGGAGGCACAGGATGACTTCACAGACCTGATAGTAAACACACGTTTTTTTCTTTCTTACAATGTGATCAACATGAACATTTTGAAGATGTAAAGCGGTTAAGAGCAGTTTATTTGGTGGTTCTGAGCGGAGAAGATAAAGATGTTGGGTTGGATGGGTTCACTCATTAACAAGAGCTGGCTGGACCGGGATCGCCCTGTGCTTCATCAGGACTGCAGGAAAGCCGGACTGATGGTACAGCAGGACTGTGTGTGTGTGTGTGTTGAAATCAGACCAGTGTGAATAGAGGCTATGTAGTCTTAGAGGGGTTTCTGTGCTCTAGGAGGATAAGATATGCAGCGTGACTAGTATTTGTTGTTGGGTCAAGACTGATTCCTTGTGCTGCTATGCAGTGTTCACTCAATTTCAGCCTCTGACTTTCTTTTTGGGCTCAGACTTGCGTTAAATCAGCCAATGACCCTTTTGTACTGTGACAGAGTGGTTTTCTGTGCACTACATAAGAGCTCAGACTAAATATTCAGAGAGATTCAGTTATCTTGTTAAAAGCCTTTGTTTTTCATGCTGCTGTGCTGAAGTGGCTAATGTCTATATGTTTCATCATACATTTTTGAAGTTTTTAATTTCATGGCAATTAAGCACACCCACATACTTTTCAATATGTGGTATGTTTTATTTATTCTATTGCTGCTGCCTTTATTTGATCAAAACAGTCATTTTGTGAAAGCAATGTAAAACATAATAGAAAAACAGTAATAGTGTGAAATATTATTAAAATTTAAAATAACTTGTCTATTTCATGTTTTAATATAATTTATTCTTGTGATGCAAAGCTGAATTTTTACATCATTACTCCAGTCTGTGACACTCCAGTGTCACATGATCCTTCAAAATCATTCTAATATGCTGATTTGGTGATTTCTTATTATTTTCAATGCTGAAAACAGTTGTGCTTTTTTCTCTCTTTTTTTTCTTTCTCTTTCTTTCTTTCTTTCTTGATGTTTTATTTTTCAGGTTTCTTTTAATAGAAAGTTCAAAAGAACAGCATTTATTGTACTGCCTTTAAAAAAATCTATTCAAAAAAGTAAAACGTTCACTTTTGTAGGCTCCCCACCCATTTCTATTTTTGGGATGAAATATGACCGCTACATGTTTCTGTTCTTTTCATTCAAGTACGTTTGCGTTTGCATGTTTATGCAAATACTAGCAAATGTAACACTGACAGTGGCTCTCTAAATCTGTTATTGTTTGCTGGATGAAATACTGTAGATTATGAGACACTAGTAGATACTGCCATCCTCTTGGTTTTTTTGCTATGTCTTTGTAAGCAGATGTTTTATAAGCAGGTCGGGTCTGTTTGTAGAAGACACTGTTAGTCAGTTAGTTATTCGGTGTCCAGGTTCTTGTGTTGTCTGCTGTTGTTAAGGAGCATAATCCTCGTCTGTCAGTGTGACCTGTGGCCCATCACTCTAATCTCATTTGTGGTTACACCAATTGTTCATGGCCCTGAAGTTTGGTGATTGGAAAGCGTCTGGTCACGTGACTGCATGAGAGACATGCCGAGATTACTGCAGCATCTCTATAGACCGTTTTAGTCACAGTCTTGTGTCATTGTTTGTTTTTGTTGTGCAGGGCAGTATGGTAGACGTCTTGGACTTTAAACTGCACTTTGCTACATGTCATCTGATTGATACTTTATACTTTTTTAGCAAGTCAAAGTGTCTTTTTGCTGTGAAATCTTTGCTGATTTTTTTTAGGTAAATGTACGAATAAATTAGTTAGTAATTTCAAAATGAGCACTTATTGGACTGAAGGCTTACTTGATTATCCATACATAATTTTTAGAAAAATCATGTTGAAATGTATAATTTATACATTAGGCTTTTGATGAATGTTTGTTTTGTTAATCTCTCAGTCATCATTGAGTTGTGTTGTGTTGTATTATATATATGTTGCCGTCAATAAAAATTACAGAGTTTTGATCATAAAACAAAAAAAAGCGCATACAAACTTAAAAAAAAAAAAAATTATTTTAGGTTTCAGCTCGGCTCGGTAAACTCTTCTATTTAATATATATGTATGTATGTGTGT